CCTCCCCCACCCACCCCAACACCAACACACTTACTTCTGAACCACGATCCTCTTTGTCAGGTCACAACCAATCGAGATGAGCGTCCTCTGTAGAGGAGAGAGACGGAGACGTGGACCCGGGTCAGCGAGGGCACCCCAGAGCCAGACACAGTGAAAGCATGCACGGGGATGCTCTCACACGGGTTTGGAAACCACGAAGCCTGGATCCCGACCTGATGACCTGGATGTCTGGGACACCCCATGAGCCCGGGAGCCTGCTTCGGCTATGGGAACAGCCAAATCCTTCACATCACCCAACGATCTCTTAGCAGCTCTGCGGGGACCAGACTAAATTGCTCTCCTTCTCTTTTTCTTTCTTTGAGCCAGGGTCTTACTCTGTCCACTTCCTGTCTCTGCGGATTTACCTGTTATGAACATTTCCTGTAAGTGGAATCACACACTATGTGACTTTTTGTGCCTGGCTTCTCTCACTTGGCGTGACGCTTTCAAGGTCCAGCTGCGTTGCTGCCTGTGTCATTCCTTTTCATGGCTGAATGATACTCCATCGTACAGATAAGCCGCATTTCTTTCTTTTTTTTGAGTGGAGTCTCACTCCATCGCCCAGGCTGGAGTGCAGTGGCACACCCACGGCCACCCTGGCGTTGACCTGCTGTGCTCTGGCGATCCCGCCCTCTCAGCCGTCCAAGTAGCTGGAACTACAGGTGTGCGCCACAAGCCCGGCTGATTTTTTGATTAGTTGTAGAGATGAGAGCTCGCCAAGTTGCCCAGGCGGGTCTCGAACCTGTGGGCTCAGGCAGTCTTCTCACCTCGGCCTCCCGAAGTGCTGGGATGACAGGCGTGAGCCACCGCCCTCGGCCTAAGCCACATTCCTTTACTCATTGACCTGGTGAAGCACACGTGGGTGGTTTCCAGTTTTTGGCCATTGCAAATGATGCTGCTGTGAGTATTCGTGTCCAGTTTTATGTGTGGAGGTGTGCTGCTCTGAATTCTCTTGAAGCATCTAGTGGTTCTGTTACCCGAGGTGGCCAGATGCAGTTCAGGGCATGAACCACAAGCAACAGGCCTCTGCTCTCAGGATGGTGAGTCATGGGGGAGACTGCCCCGGGGGACAGTGAAGGAGAGGCAGTGACCCCAGAAACCAGGACAGAATCACCTCCATTTCCAGACTGTGAACAAGGGCTTGGTCAACCCTTCGGCGTCTACCGCCATGACTCTTAACACTCATGACACATAATATGGGGCCACAAAAGTTTGAGACCTACCAGGGGCTTGATATCCACGCATGAAACTTCCTTGTTGGCTACATCCACAGTTAACGTAGATAAGGTGGGTCGCTTTAGACTGCAAGGCAATGGAAGCCTTTGTTATTAGAGGATAGCACTGCATAAAAATGGCGGAGACATCCAACCATTCACCCGCGCATACATCCACCTACCCATCAATCCAGCCATCCACTCATCCATCCATTCATTCATTCATCTACCAACCACTCATCCATTCACCCATTCTTCCATCCATCCATTCTTCCATCCATCTATTGATTCTTCCACCCATCCATCCATCCATCCGTCCATCCATCCACACATCCATCCATCCACCCATCCATTTATTTACCCATCAATCCATCTATCCATCGTCCGTCCATCCATCCATCCATCCATCCATCCATCCATCCATCCATCCATTCATCATTTCTGAATACCAGCTGAGAACCTCTGCTCACACATGAAGATCCAAACTTCTTCTTGAGTCAGTTTTGTTAATCTATATATAATGACTAATTCAAAAGAACATATGACATCCAATTTTAGTGCCACCAAGATGCAGAATTGTTTTCTCATTATTCTTTCTATCTCATAATTTCTGTTATCCTTCTGGTTCTTCCAGTTAAATGTTTAGATAATTTCTCTTTAGTCATTTTTTTCTTAATGATAAAAGTTCTTGGGGGTATACATTTCCCTCTGAGTATATTTTAGCTGTATTCTATGCATTCTTTGATTTAGGGATTATTTATAAGGGTGTCTCTTAATTGCCAAATAAAAGGGATTTTGTTATGAGTGTTGCTTTCTGTTTTGTTTTGGTTATTCTAGTTCTATGGACTCGAGGTCTGAGAATGTGATCTGAACATCTCTATTGGGAGAATCATTTTTTTATCAGGTTGTACATGAACAATTGAGTGATTTTTTTATAAGTCCGCCATAAACATGAGAAAGATCGGTAGCATACAAAGTTCGATGTACAGAATTAAAACACACTTGTTTGAAATATATACATCTTCTATAGCAGAATTTTCCAACTGTGGCACCATTGATATTTGAGGGCAGATAATTCTTTCTGTGGGGGACTGTCCTGTGCATACTGTCCTGTGCATAATGTACAAGAGGACCCAAAAAACCACGAAATTATATTTTCGAGGGCGAGCCCCTTGTAGTACAGGCTTCCCCCACTAGATAAGTATTCTAGGAACCCACTGGTATCAGTGTACCAGCTAGTGTTGTTGGGAGAGGCTGCATTTGGCTTTAGTGATTTTTTTTTTGATAGTCTTTCAATGCGTTTGTCCATTTCATGATGGATGATTTATGAACGCACCTACCCACTCTGCACTGAGCGTTCAGCAATTTTTGACCAAAACCAGCATGACCCCTGTGTCCACCCTCCCTATTCACCCATCTCGCCCCCAGTGACTTTTTTGTTTGTTTCCCCAGAGGAAAGCAGTACTCAAAGAGAAACATTTTACCAACATGGAAGATGTGAAACAAAAAAGGCAGAAACACTAAAAGGTATCAAAATTGGTGAGTTCAAAAACTGTGTTGAAGAGTGAAAAAAGTATCTTGACAGGTGTATTTCATCAAACGAAGAGTACTCTGAAGGTGACTGAAGTTTAAATATGTAAGAATAAATACGCAATTTCTTTTTGAGTCTCACTGTGTCATCCAGGCTGGCGTGCAGTGACACGCTCACGGCCACCCCAGTGTTGGCCTGCTGGGCTCAGGCGATCCTTCCACCTCATCCTTCCAAGGAGCTGGAACTACAGCTGCACGCTACCACACCCGGCTACTTTTTTTTTTTTTTTCCTGAGTTGGAGTCTCACTCTGTCGCCCAGACTGGAGTGCAGTGGCTGCTCCCGGCCACCGCAGCCTCGACCTGCTGGGCTCCAGCGATCCTTCCGCCTCAGCCTTCCGAGTAGCTGGAACTACAGGCGTGCGCTACCACGCCCGGCTGATTTTTGATTTATTGTAGAGATGAGGTCTCACCAAGTTGCCCAGGCGGGTCTCGAACCCACAGGTTCAGGCAATCCACTCACCTCAGCATACTTTTTTTGATTTATTGTAGAGATGAGGCCTCGCCAAGTTGCCCAGGCTGGTCTTGAATCCATGGGCTCAGGCAATCCTCTCATCTTGGCCTCCCAAAGTGCTTGGATTATAGGCGTGAGCCACTGCGCCCAGCAATGACTCATTTTCATGGACTGAATCTTTTTTTTTTCCTTTCTAATTTTTAGTAGAAGTGGAAGTCTCACTATGTCGGCCAGGCTAGTCTTGAACTCCTGGCCTCCTGCCTCAGTCTCCCAAAATCCTGGGGTTACTGCCATGAGCTGCTGCACCTGACCAAGACTGGATCTTTATTCACTAAATATGCTCTCAGTCTTACTCAGTGTTATCTAATGTACTTGGCTTTGAAATTGTATTCTAGTCTTGCGATAATATAGTTACTCCTGTTTTCATTTGTTGTTTGTTTGATTGTGTCTTTTTGGTATATCTTTAATAATCTATTTCCACTGTTGGGGGTTAACTTTAGATGTGTTTCTTTTATTTTATTTTTATAAATTCAACCTAGAAGTTTTATCTTTTCACTGGAATGTCAGTCTTTTCACCCTTTCCTGATTTTAGTTAGATTAGTCAATAAATTAAAATCTGATGACATTTCCAAGTCCTCCTCAGACTGCAACAGGCAAGCATTAACCTGGGAGTATCCTCACCTAGATTCCTCTCTCTCCTCTCCTCTCCTCTCCTCTCCTCTCCTCTCCTCCTCTCTCTCTCTCTCTCTCTCTCTCTCTCTCTCTCTCTCTCTCTCTCTCTCTCTCTCTTTCTCTCTCTCTCTTGTCAGAATCTCACTCTGTTACCCAGGCGGGAATCCAATAGCACAATCACGGCTCACTGAAGCCTCGACCTCCTGAGCTCAGGCAATCCTCCCACCTCAGCCTCCGAAGTAGCTAGGACTACAACTGTGTGTCACCACACACTTTTTTTCTTTTAAACCGTGAGAAAGTAGGCATAGTGTACCATGTACCATTTTACCCCTTTTTAAGGTGACATGGCATTAAGCACATTCACATGGTTGTGCAACCATCACCACCATCCCCAGAACTTTCTCCTCTTCCCAGAGGGAAACTCTGTTCGATGAAACACTCCCCATTCCCTCCCCAGCTCCCCCGGCACTCACAATGCTAATTTCTGTCTCTGTGGATCTGACGACTCTAGGACCCTAAGGACCTCCTAGGAGTGGGATCTCACAAGATTTGCCCTTTTGCAACTGGCTTATTTCACTGAGCGTGATGTCCTCAAGGTTTATCCATGTTGCAGTCTGTGTTGGAATTTCCTTCCTTTCTGTAGCTGAATCATATACTCCACTGGGTGGACGGATCATGGTGTGTCTATCCAGCCATCCAGCAATGGACATGGGTTGTTTCCACCTTTTGGCTACTGTGAATTACACTGCTGTGAACATGGGTGTACAAGTACTTGTTTTCCATCATTTTGTCTCACTGTCCTGGAATCGGGGGTCTGATCTTGGCTTGGCTTCTCCCTGAGCCTGCTAAGAGAACCCCCCGTAAGAGCCAGGCAATGACATACCTGGAAGTGAAATTGGTGTCAGCCCTGTCCCAAAGCTGCTGCTGCTTCAGATAAATGTCCTGTGGGACCGAAAGAGAAAACCCCAAATCAGGCTGGTCTCGAACTCCAGGAGAGGTGGGGGTCGGAGGAGGGGAGGACCCCAGAAGCTGTCCAGCCACGCTGCGATTGTTCTGGGGGACTTACAACGGGGTGTGACTTTGCTATCCACTTGTGATCTGAGCGACCAAAAGACACCCCTTTGTCAACCAAGATGGGCCCTAGCGTTAAGGAGACCAAGGTTACTCCCAGGGTCGAGGGTGCAGGCTCGGCCAGCATGACAATTTCTTAAATTCCTACAGTTACAAGAAAACCCTCACTCTCGCTAAGAACCCCCCAAACAGGAGCTATCGGGCAGATTATCAGACCACTCCGAACTCTGACTTACAGGCTAAACCACTACAGCTCTGATTGGATTGGGAATGGCCTTACAAACATGCTTTCCTGCCGGGCTCAGTGGCTCAGCCTGTCATCCCGCGCCTTGGCAAGCCGAGGTGAGTGAACTGCCTGAGCCTGCAGGTTCGAGACCCGCCTGGGCAACTTGGCGAGATCTCATCTCTACAATAAATAAAAAAAATTAGCCGGGCGTGGAAGCATGCGCCTGTAGTTCCAGCTCCTCGGAAGGCTGAGGCGGAAGGATCGCCGGAGCCCGGCAGGTTCAGGCTGCGGTGGCCAGGAGCGGCCACTGCACTCCAGTCTGGGTGACAGAGCGAGACTCCAACTCAAAAAAAACAAAAAACAAACATGCTTTCCTGCAGACCTGAATCCAGTTTCAGCCAGTTCACAGAGGCAGTCATGAACTATCCTTGTGTCCTGCAGTTCACCTTTTCACATAAAGAGCCAAGTGCCACCTCACTCTAAAACCCTGCTCCTGGGATGTATGTTACATGTATGTTTACCGGTTGCGAGTGCGCTCAGCTCCCCTTATAAATATGTAGAGCTCTTCTCCAAACCTGCTGAATATGTATGACCCCATTGTATAATCCCTCTGTGAGGCATGAAACCAATCCGGCCCTTTCCTTCCTTCAAGAAAACACATAGGAGCCTTTCTCTTCCCTGTTTGCAAACTGGTATCATCAATAAAGCTCTTCTTTGTTTTTTATTTCTTTTTTCTTTCCAGTGGGAGTCTCACTCTGTCACCCAGGCTGGAGTGCAGTGGCATGCCTGCAGCCACTGCAGCCTCAACCTGCTGGGCTCAGGCAAGCCTTCTACTTGAGAACCACAGGTGTGCGCCACCATGCCTGGCTAATTTTTTAATTTATTGTAGAGACGAGGTCTCATCAAGTTGCCCAGGCTGGTCTCAAACCCCTGGACTCAGGCAATGCTCTCCCCTCCGCCTCCCAAAGTGCTGGGATAACAGGTGTGAGTCACCATGCCCAGTCTCTTTTCTTTTTACTTTGAGTCGGGGGTCTCACTCTGTCACCCAGGCTGGAGTGTAGTGGCACAATCATGGCTCACCACAGTCTCAGGCTCCTGGGCTCAGGCAATCCTCTTGCCTCAGCCTCCCAAGTAGCTGGAACTACAGGCATGTGCCATCACGTCTGGCTAATTTTTTTTATTTTTTGTAGAAATGGGGTCTCACTATATTGCCTCGTCTGGCTTCAACTCCTAGGTTAAAACAGTCCTGGTGGCCTTTGGAATGATACACTCATTTTTTTTCTTTCTTTCTTTCTTTTTTTTTTTTTTTTGAGTTGGAGTATCACTCTGTTGCCCAGGCTGGAGTGCAGTGGCACGCTCACGACCACCGCAGCCTCGACCTGCTGGACTCAGTCTTCCAAGTAATTGGAACTACAGGCATGCACCACCAGGCCCAGCTACTTTTTTTATTTATTGTGGAGATAAGGTCTCGCCATGTTCCCTAGGCTGGTCTCAAACCCATGGGACCTGGCAATCCTCTCGCCTCCTCCTCCCAAAGTGCTGGGATTACAGGTGTGAGCCACTGGGCCTGGCCAACATCTCATTTAGATGTGACATAACAAGCGCTGCTCAAGAGAGTCCGTTGTGGCCGACTCACCCCTGGCCACGCCCCTGTCCTGTGGACACTGCCTAGTGCCTCTGAAGCTCTGGGATCAAGTCTAAACTTGAGGTCTGACAGGTCTGCTTGGCCTGACGGATCCCCCCTATGTGTGGCCAAGCCCCTTCTGGTCCCCTGGTTCCACTCAATCCTGCCTCAGTTTACCCAGCTAACTCAAATCTCTAGCCCTCTGACAGGTTGGGTTAGGCTTCCTGTCACATTGTCCCAGCCTCTTCTGTGTGACACTTTAATCACATCACGTGTGTGGGTGATGGTGGCCTGCTTGTCTCCCCCAGGGTGGAAGGGGCAGGGGCTATGCGCCCTCTCAATTCCTCGCACCTTCCCAGGTAGGTGCAAAAAAAGGAAATGGGAAGGAGGGGCCCCTCAGGGGACACCCTAAGGTGACCGGACCTGGTCAGCCTCAGTCAAGGCCGCGTCGCTCAGGGCTGGGGCACTCACCAGCTTGTACTTGGTGTTTCCATCCAAGGTGCTGCCGTTCTCGTAGAAGGTGGCCTGCAGCCCCAGGGAGTGGGGGTTGCTCACCATGGGCTGGGGGAAGGGAGAAGCACGTGCCAAACCCAGCCAGCATGCGGCACAGGGGACAGACCCCCACAGGTGACCCCTGAACACCTTCAGGTGAAAACCTGAGCTCGCTCTGCAGTGCAGCTGCCGGTACCGTCCCAAGCATCTCCTGAGTTCATTCACCCATGCACCTCCAGACAGCCCAGAGCGCAGAGCTGTGAGCCCAGACCCGTCCCGTGGAGGCAGACAGGACGGAGTCATGGTCAGAGCCTTAGTCCCAGGCCTGGGGCCTGGCTCTGCTTCTCTTGCATTTTGTGATACTCCCCTCATATGCCCACTCAAGTCACCCCCATTTCCAGCTTGATTACAGATGCTCCTTGACTTACGAGGGGGTTACATCCCAATAAACCCATTGGGAGCGGAAACACAACTTAAGTTGAAAAGGCGTTTCATAACCAAACCTACCAAGCACTGTAGCTCAGCCCAGCCTCCTGACCAAGCAATAAAAAGAAAACACAAGCCGGGCTCGGTGGCTCAGCCTGTAATCCCGCGCCTTTGGGAGGCTGAGGTGAATGGATTGCCTGATCCTGCAGGTTCGAGACCCACCTGGGCAGCGCAACCTCATCTCTACAATGAATCAAAAAATCAGCCGGCGTGGTAGCACATGCCTGTAACTCTGGCAACTTGGAAGGCTGAGGCGGAAGGATCGCCGGAGCCCAGCAGGTCGAGGCTGCGGTGGCCGGGAG